CTCGCTGGCCGACTGTCCTCGGGGACGTTCTCCCGCATCCATTTCCGGTTCTCCTCGTTAGCTGCGATGTCCTTCTCCTCAAATTCTATTTTGTTGGCTTCCAAGAAGCCTAACACATCTTGCTGCTGCTTTTTAATCTGTCACAAAAGAAGGAGGAAGGGAGATAAGGTAAACACAATCAGTGAAGTAATTTTTGTTGCTGCTCTGGGGTTTGATGCAGAAACCACGGGTTGAAAATGGGAGCGGTAGGAAAATTCTTAAAACCAAAAACTATCTTCTGAAGAGTCAGAGCTGAGCCTTGACTTGGCTTCTACAAAACTGAATAGGCTGAAGCTTAAAGATGGTGTACCTACACAAATGTGAGTGTTTTGTACCTTAAAGCTGCCCACCCAAAAGCAGACGTGTGAGCAGGGCCCTTGTGCTGACCAGATTTTACATTTAGCTCAGGGAAATGTTGTTTTTCAGGTGCAGTGGAGTTTGCTGGAGGCACAACTGCTTCCTTGTGCCCTTGGAAGCACAGGCTGAACATCTCCATTCCTTCTCAGAGTCCAGGCTTTTGTCCACCTCGGTGACAAAAGAACCTCACCAAGCATTTTTGGTTCATGCTTCTGTGCAGAGAACCTCTCTCCCGCTGTCTCTTGGGTGTCTGCAGGGCAGGGCACAGTCTCTGGAGAGCTGTGACCCACATCCCCATCCTAACTCGTGTCAAGGAAGCTGGGTGAGGTCCCACACCTGCTGCCACCCGTCCTTGTGCACTCACACAGCATCCAAGGGAAAAGCAGGATCTGTGTGGCAAGCATGGTGCTGGCTCCGCACAGGGAAGGTTTTTATTACTGTCATTATGAATTACTGACTTCTTGACAAAGAGATGCATGACTTTAACACCACAAAGGAGATTATAACCATGCACATCCTACCAAACAATAAAAAGATGGAATTTAATGGGATATTTGTTTTCTTCAAATGACCCCCTTCATGCAAAGCCAGTCCAAGGCCTGGCTTTACCCTAATGCGCCGTGTGCTGCAGGAGCAGCGTTTCACACAGACGTTGCTGGTGCTAACTCAGGTCAGCCGCGGCTCCCGGAGCAGCCGCTCCATATACGGCCACAGGCAAACCCGGAGCTGCCGGGGTCAGGGACAGCCAGCCCGGAGCCAAATATGGAGCCCGTGCCCCGGCCTGCACAGCCCCGCACCCGCGGGCACCCGGCCCCGCACCCGCGGGCACCCGGCCAGGCCCCGGCCTGCACAGCCCTGCACCCACGGGCACCCGGCACGCCAGGAGCAGCAGGGAGTGTGATGGAGAGCGCTGTCCTGAAGGATGTGGGCTGGGGAACAGAGCCCAGCACATCCAAAAGGGAACCTTGGAGCACTCCCTGGCTCGGTCTGGAGCTGCTCTATCCATGGCAGGTTCAAGCAGGCACGAGAGGGGCACATCCAGCTCAGTGCATCCTGCTCTCCCCACAGAGGGAAATGTGCTCCCAGCTCCAGCAGGGAAGCTGCCTGCTGAGAAGCCAATGTAATTCCTCCGACCTCAGCAGCACAGGAGCCGCTGGACTCGTCCTGAAACTCAAGGATGTTGCTAATTTTCATCATGGCTAAAAATAAATCAAACTGGAGGAGTTAATACTGTTCCAAGGAAATAATTTGTGTAGAGGCTGTATAAAAAAACATTCTCAGCAGACTCAAAGCTCTGGGTAAGAAGTTTCCTTGCCTGCCTCTAACAACAGCAGCAGCAGAAGGGAAACTTCTCTGTTGTGCTCTACAACTCAGAGGAGAAAAAAAGGGAGCACTTAATGAACTGTTCTGTAGGGCTAAAATAAAGGAAAGGTCTTTGGAATTGTGAACTCTTTGGTCAGTATGACCTGGTAGTAAATGTAAATTTTTTTCCTTGAATCAGTTACATGTTTAATTAACCATTTCCTACAATCTCTAAATTTCAGATCCAAATAGTTTTTATTACTCTCAGGTCCTTAACTTGTCCAAAATCCATTGCTTAGTGGGAACACATTTTGAGATGCCCCAGAACTATTAAGGAATTAGAGAAAACCAAGCTTTTACCCACTCCACCAATAACCTGTACACTCTGCCACGTAAAACAAGAGCTCTGAGTTGGACAGGAATCAGCATTTTGATCCCCTGAAAAGTCACTTTGTATTTTTTTTAATCGTTTTGACTATTAGATTGTTTTAGCCACACACACATCCTCACACTCCCCCAGCATCTGTGTCTCTGTTTTTTTTTTTTCTCTGGGTTGTTTTTTCAGCTCCAGGAGGTACAACCACATCCTAAACTATTGACTGTGGCTCCAAAGGGTGATCACAAACCTCTCTGCTTGTTTCTGAAGAGCTGGCAAAGCTGGAAATGAATTTTTTTCTGCTATAAAAGGCACCATTGTGAGGCAAGCATGAAGTTTGGTCTCTGTTGCTCTCAGGCCGTCTGTAGTTAAGGGAGGTAATCCTCTAGAGAACTCTACAGAAAAGCAAGGATGGTGTTGATGCATGAGGATTATTAGTCTGGAACCCTTGTTTTCTGGTCAAACAAAAAAAATGTTGGAAGATTAAGCAGCAATGTTTTCTCCCAGCTCCTCAGACAAATCCTCTGGCCATGCTGATGAGCACTTACACAAGAGCAGTAATTGCTCCAGAGAAACAGGGCACCAACTGCTGGGCAGCAGGGACACCGAGCTGCCAGATCCTGTTATTTCAGGGAATTTTATTTAGAAAACTTCCATTAATTTCAGTCAGTGAAATAGCGCTGGGAGGGAAGGGCCAAAAATAGAGCAAGAGACATCTGCTGCTGCTTCAGGGTGTTTTGTCTTACTTGAAAGGGCACACGTTCTGCTCGGGACAGAGCCTGGAAGATGGTTCCTGTTGCCCATGTTTGGGAAGGAGTGAGGAGCCTTCCTTCAGGATGCTCCTGTCAACACGCAGCACTCGCTTCCAACAAAACCTCCCCCAGCTGCCCGGGGAGAGCGGCCAGCGCCTTCCCCGAGCCCGCACCTCAGCCTGCATAAACAACTGTCATGTCTGAAGCCATTCTGGCCCGTGAAGGGCAGCTCGCTGCAGCTGGCAAACACGAAAATCCTTGTTTATTCCGAGTGCTCCTGACACATTGTGCAGGGCCGAGAGCAGCAGCAGAGCCGGGAACGTGGCCGGAGTCAGCGCAGGAGCTGGAGCCCAGCAGGGCTCCGAGGCTCCGAACCAGCACTGGTGGGGAGGAGCATTTATGGAGACACAAGAGCACAGGACAGAGAAATGAAAGACAGGGATGGACAGACAGCTGGAAGGAAGGGAAGAGGCTGGGGGCAGGAGTGGAGGGAATGAGCAAAATGGATGGACAGAGATCAGGGATGAAAATCCCTGTGGGGTGGAGACAGAGGGGATGGAAGGAGAAGGAGTGGGAGCAGGTGAAGCCAGGACTGCCAGGAGGAAGGGCTGCATCCCCTGGAGTCCTCTGCCCTGCCTGGGAACAAAGATGCCCTCAGAACAGCCCGTCTGCTTCACCCAACCCCAGAAACAGAAACACATCCTGCTCAACACACACTTGGGAGAAAAACAATTCCTAAGGTGAGTGGAGATATTTTACTTATTGCTGATGTTCCCAAGATAATACTGGAAGGAACATTTAATGAAAGAAATCTATTTTCTCTTTGTTTTGGATTTCAGGGTCTGGTTCCAGGACAGAAACAGCTTTATGGCAAGTTACTGGTGGTTAAGCAAAGTCTCACCACACACTGTGACCTTGTGCTACAAAATCCACCGAGTATCAAGATTCCCTTCTCTTCCAGTTACAAACCAATCATGAAACATTAAGCTTTCAACAGAGCATGGGCACAAAATAACATTATAAAAATGAGTGTAGAATTGTGAACAAGTATCGCCCCTCACTTGAGTACACATCAGAAATTCAATTTACTGTTCTTAATCTAACTCCCATCAGTGATGTCAGTAACACAAGAGAAACCACATCAAAGCTGCCAAGAGTACAAACAGGTGATGTTTGCCAACAAATCAATTCATCAAAAAGAAAATTTTAACCCCAAAGTGGGAATAAACATTCCAGAAAATGCTGCAACATTTTAGATTCTCTTCCAAATATTTAATATTTAAAAAAATAACTCAGCTAAAAGATAATAAGCAGAAAGGAGGCAGGGATGATGCTGCAGAACCTTGGTCCAGTGAGCAGGCACCATTCCATCCTCAGCTCCAGCCAGGACTGTGCTGGCTGTTCAAGAGCCAACTTCTCCCAGCACCACTCCACTGCAGGGAAACAGTAATTTTAAACACTTTTTGGAACTGAACTTCACAGAAGGGTCTATCTCATTTGGTGTACGCAGGCACACACACAGCACAGTCCAGTCCACACTGCTGGCCAAGAAGGGGTTTGGGTTGGTTTATTTCAGTCTTGTTGTTTTTTCAGTTTATAAATAAATCCCTGGTTGGACAATAGACATGTTTTGGAAATCTATTTATGGACCACTGGAACTCAAATTAAGTTTACAGTCTGAGCACTGCTGTTTTGATCCAACAATAAACTTGCTGAGTGGGGCTCTGCCATCCTGGCCCTTGGCAGGAGGCTTCTCCACCACTTCTGTGGCTCCTGTGTCCCAACCTCCATACAGGGGAAAAACCTAGATTTTATTAATTTCTTTCCCAAATGGGATTAAATGGCTCATGCAGTATTGTGAGGATATAGAAGAATGATAAAAGGATTTCTTATAATGTTCCTAGCCATCGTTGTATCATCGGTCAGGACAAAAGGAATGGCCTCAAGTTGTACCAGGAAAGGTTTAGATTAGGAATAGGGAGAAAGTTTTTCATGGAAATGGTTATGAAGCATTAGAACAGGCTGCACAGAGAAGTGGTGGAGCCACCATTCCCTGGAAGTGTTCAAAAAACATGTGGATGTGGCACTTGAGGACATGATTGAGTGATGAACACGGGGCTGGGTTTATGGTTGAACTCGATGATCTCAAGGTCTTTTCAACAATAACAATTCCACAATTCTGTGATTCTCTCCAGCTCCTGCTACAGGTGTGTCCTGAGCTGTCTCTCCCAACCTCACAACTGGGATCCAGCACCAGGACAACAGAGAAGCAACACCTTAGAGCAGATCTTACATTTGATCTTACATATTT